CCCCAAAACCCCAAAACCCCAAAACCCCAAAACCCCAAAACCCCTTTTTTGAAAAATTTCATTGAAATTTTATTTCTGGCTTAGAATATCAAAATGTGAATAATTTGCCTTCGACCTTCTCTGATCAAAATTATGTACCACAGCTGATGTATTCAACACAGAGCTAATGTCAATAGATGGAGAACTTCTGTCATATCTCACAGATTGTAAGGAAGTTGTACCTGCATCAGTTGTTGCATTTAAAATATTAGGAAGGAACTCTATACTTCCCTTTGGAGATATTTTCTTGTTATCACCACCCATAAACTGACTCAACTTCCTACTTCTTCTAGAGAAGCCTATATTCCCTCCCTTCAAGTCAGAAATAGACTGAATCTTCCTATCATGAGTTACCCGTCTATATTTAGGAACTGATTTATAAGCATTCTTAGTAGATCTGGAAAATTTGGGCTGAGGAGACTTCTCCAGATTTTTATCCAACATCTTGTCATACTCATTTTTCCATTGATCTAAGTTCATCTTCTCCATATATTTAAACTGAAGTCTAGGCACCATAAGGATCTTCTTAAGTGAGCGTATTTCTTCCTTCAGATGAGCTTCCCTTTGTTGCATTTGAAGCTGAACTACTTCACGAACCTTTAGTTCATTCATTAAAATCTGGATGCCATTGTGAGAGTCTTTTTTATGCTGAATTTTCTTCTTCTCAAAATCTGTGGCAATTTCAACAACGGTTTTCTCATGTCTCTGCTTGGTAAAGTCAAGGTCTGTTTTAAGATTCTCAATAGTTTTCATTCAATTTTTACATCTATCTTCCATCTGATTCATCTGAATGACATAGTGATTATTCATTTCAATAGAAGCCTCAACTTCTTTCTCTTTGAGTTGGAGTCGCCGCTTCAGTTCATCGATTCAAGCTTGATAATAATTGATAACATCCCCTTTGAGGATACTCTGACGGTCTTGTAGAGAGACATTGATAAAGGAGGTAAAGAATCCAAATGGATTCTGAAGGTACGGCTCCTTCTCTACAAGAGTATCAACATCCTTCTCTATATTCATGAAGTTCCTTATTAACTCCCTTACAGTGTTCTCTTTGTCAGGCAGTTCGTTATTGAGATATTTCTGGAGCTTTTCAAGCTCCTGTTTCTGTATCTCCTGTTGTCGGCAGGCCTGGAATAAGCAAACCTTTAGATCGTTGATCGTATGCTCCTGATCTCAGATCATCTTATCCCGGAGAACAATCTTCTGTTCACGATCGTACAAGTCCTTTCCCATCTGGTTGAACTGCTTTATGAGGTTGATCATCTCTTTCCGAACGGTGCTATTGGCAGTTTTGATTACTTCATGAATAAGCTCACGAGCTTTTATTCCAGCCATGTTTTTCACCTGATCTATTTCCTTCTCATGTGCTCTACGGATCATCTGAACTTGCTTCTGGAACTCTTTCCTTTCATAATTCAATAAATTTTTGGAAGGCATGTTAAACTCGCCCTTGAGTTCATCATAATATTTCTGAAGCGGGGTGACTCCTTCGTCTAAAAACCGCTCAATTTGGTTCATAAGCTGTGTTTTATCATCCGGTGATAAATTTTTATACATATTTTTAGAGTAAGACTTTAATTTCTCAATCAGCATCATTGGATCATGAAGCATTTCGATACTTCTTTCCCTTTTATTTAGCCTCCCTTTGCTCGAACTCCTCCCAGTATCAGTTAAAGACGCTCTCTTCATCAGATTCCATGTCATTCTCACCTTGCTCGCCTTCCTTAGGATGGGCACCGTACTCGTCGATGTCCTTACCAGGGAAGATAATGCCACTGATTTCTGAGTCTATTTCGCCTCGGTCAAGTTTTTCATACATTATAATGTCTTCTTTCTCAAGGACTTTATTTCATAGCTGTTTGCTTTTTATCAATCTCGATTTCACTGACCATAGAATGGCGTACTTTCTGTTGCTGGCTCATACTGTCCCTTAAGGCATCATCCTTCTTCGCCTTGCTTGCAAGAGTGGCTTGCTCCAATATCTTCTGCTCTCGAGAAAGCTGCTTTGCGTTTCTTTCCTCTTCTTCGATTTGTTTTTGTGTCTTTGAGCGCTTATTTTTGAAATCAACAATGACCTGATTAAGCTCTGAATCTAGCCGGCTGCTCATTTCATCTGTGAATTCGAACAAATCGTTAGGTAAAAATTTCTGAATTTGCCTCTCTGGGACAGAGTCTTTGAGACCTTTCAGCCTTTGCATTTCCTATTAGGAGGGTTCATAAGTGATTTCAATGAAAATTTAAAATAATTTTATGGAGTTTTAAGTAAAAATTACCTTCTCATACTGCTTTTGTCTCTCTTTTTCCTGCTTGTGTAGGTATTCTTGGGCATTTACTACTTCCGTATCTGCATAACGCACAAAGTTATTAACTGATTCCTCTTCAGTGTTGTTCATTTTATTCTTATTATATGTCCAACTAAATTTTATAAAAAGGGGTTTTGGGGTTTTGGGGTTTTGGGGTTTTGGGG